GTCACGCCGAGGCTGAAGTCATGGATTACCAAATGCGCATGACAGAGGTTGTCAACCATGCGTGAAAGCTAGAGGGCGAGGTGCATGCAGCGAAGGAGCTGAACCTGCAACTGTCGAAGGAAGCTGAGGACTCAAGAAAGGAGACCTCGGAGCTGAAGAGAGAGATCGAGGAACTGAAGGTTGCTCACGCCGAGCGCGAGGCCATTCTTCTCGATGGTATCAAGGATGTTGGGGCTGCCATAGTCGCCACATACAAAAGTTTGTCAGAGTACCATCAGATGATGGAGGAGGTTGATTCTGACACCTACCGCGGAGGCTTCAAGTTATGTAGGTGGTTGATGAAACGCGAGTTCCCCGAGCTCGACCTCGGAGCCATCACCACCATCGGAGTCACCCACGAAATGGCCTTAGAAGCTGACCAAGATCTAGACTCTGAGGAGGAGAGTGACGACGGACTCGACGAGGGAGCTGTGGAGAAAAGCTTGGATTCCATAGTCGGCAAGGTCACTGAGACTGATGAGGCTGTTGCAGCTACTGATGTGATGGAGGTGGAGCCGACCCTAGATCCCATGAATTTGGCAGAAGGTGGGGGCGAGGAGCCCCATGAAGACTGATGTTTTGCCTCTTTTCTTGGACCCCCCCCCCTCAACATCATGATGTATACCGAGCCTCCGAGCTCGGTCTAGTGGAACCTTTTCTCTTTCTTCTCTTTTTTTTATTGTACAAGAACTCTTCTTTTTATTACAAGGAAATGAAATACTTTCTTTTTTGTCACTTCGTGTACAATGAAATTGCAAAAATTTTCTAAGTATAGGTTACTCCGAGGTGTCGAGGTGTCGAGTTGTCGAACTAGGCACAGTTAGGGACAACCCGAGGTCAATATGAGCCGAGGTGAGCAGACACTATAGGGTATGTGCCCGACCTGCCTGCGCACCGATGAGGCGTGGGTTATGTTTGTCCATTGCCCATGCTTAGAAGCGACTGGGTCGAATTTTAACGCCAAGATCACTTATTAGCTCGACGCCGTGGGCCTTGGGTGTTGGGAGCGATTCATAGTCCACTCTCCATTGAGAGTCCTGACCAACTCACTGGTCTTGTAGACTTAATAAATTTTGTGGATGTCTTACTCTCAAGCTCATAGGTAGTACTTCCTCAAATTGTCAACGTTCCAAGCACGGGGAACCTTCATCCCTTCCAATGTCTCGAGCTCATACGTGCCTTCGCCGAAAACCCGTCTCACCCTTTACAATCCTTCCCAGCTTGGTCCGAGCTTACCCACATCGGGCTCAGGTACCATCACCTTCCGAAGTACTAGGTCGCCAACTCGGAACTAGCATTTCTTGCCCCAGGCATTGTAATACCAAGCTACCCGCTATTGATAACCGTAGTTCGGATGTAGGCCAAGTCACATACCTCTTCGATCAAGTCGAGGTTCGTCCATAATTCATCGTCGTTGGCCTCCTCGTCATATGCCTCAAGTCGCAGGGTCAGTATTTCAATCTTTGATGGGATGACGGCCTCCGTGCCGTATGTCAAATTGAACGGTGTCTCGCCTATTGCAATCTTGATGGTGGTTTTATAGGCCCAAAGGACACTAGGTAGCTCATCCACCCACAAACCTTTAGCTCACGCTAAGCAAGCTTTTAGTCCGCGGAGGATGGCCCTGTTTGTCACTTCAACCTGTCCATTTGCTTGCGGGTGTGCTACCTATGTGAAGTTCTGCTAGACCCCCATCTTGACACACTAGTTTTGGAACTTGATATCTTCGAACTGCTTTTTGTTGTTTGATATCAAGACCTTGGATAGTCCGAAGCGACACACTATGTTCTTCTAGAAGACGTTATGCACGTTTTGGGTTGTGATTGTCACTAATGGCTCAACTTCCACCCACTTCGTAAAGTAGTTCACTACCATGACCAAGAATCTCCTCTGCCCAATTGCCAGTGGGAATGGACCAAGGATATCTATTCCCCACTGGGCAAAGGGCCACGGGCTAGTTAAGTACTTCAGATCGGCAGCAGGCTGATGAAGGATGTTGGCATGCCTCTAGCAATTGTCACACTTCTTGACGAGGTCAAGTGCATCCACTTTCATTATGGGTACCCTTGCCTTAGCGCTTTTTGAGAGAGAGCCTTAACCCCTAGGTGTCCTCTATAGAGACCTTCGTTGATCTCGTGTAGTACCCGGTCTGCTTCTGAGGGCTGCAAGCAATGCAAGTAGGGGAGCGTGAAGGATCTTCTATACAGCCACTCGTCGATAAGGACATACAAAGCTGACTGACGCTCTACCCTCTAAGCTGCATTACGGTCTATTGGTAGGGTCTCGTGGAGCAAATAATCAACAAGCGAGTCGACCCAGCTCGGTTCTGCTTGCAACAAAGGAGCGACCTCTTCTCCCCCCCCCCTCAAAAAAAAAAAGCTAGGTCAAGGCAGGTCTTCTATGTACATCGTCCTCACCGTGTTGTCTCTCGTGCTTGCCAACTTTGATAGAGCGTTGGCCTTGGCATTCTCTGACCTCGATACTTGCCGGATGAACTAAGAAAGGAAGTTGGGTAGGAGTTCCCTCACCTTAGCCATGTAAGCCATCATGATAGGTTCCCAAGCCTCATACTCGTTGTTTACCTGGTTCATGACTAGCTAGGAATCACTGCATACCACGATGTGCTTCGCATCGACCTCCTTCGCTAAGTGCAGCCTAGTTATCAATGCCTCATATTCTGTCTCGTTGTTCAAAGCCTCGAATTCGAACCAGAGAGTGTACTCCACCTTCACCTCGCTTGGCCCATACAGTATGAGCCTAGCACCACTTTCTCGCTAATTAGACAAGCCGTCAACGTGGAGGATCCAGGGCTCCTCATCCTAGGTCGAGACTTCCCTAACCGGAACTGGTGCCGCACTGGTTGAAGCCTCTGACATGTTAGTTAGCTCAGCCACCTCAGGGGTTGGCATGCTAAATGTACATTCCGCGATGAAGTCCGCCAAGACTTAGGCTTGAATCTGGACATGGCTTGAACCGGATGTCGTACTCGCTCAACTCAATGGCCCACTTCGTCAATCTGCTTGAGACCTTGGGCTTCTGTAGGACGTTCCGCAGGGGTTTGTTGGTGAGGACGACGTTCATGTGAGCTTGGAAGTAAGGGTGTAGCTTCCAAGCTGCAATAACCAAGGCTTAGGCCAACTTCTTGGTGTCGGGATACCTTGCCTCAACTACCTGCAAATCTTTTCTTACATAGTGAACGGGCCATTGGACCTGGTCTACTTCTCTGATTAGTACCGAGTTGACCACCTCGTCACTCGTAGAGAGGTACAGTCTCATCTCGTCTCCTACTTCAAGTCAAGTTAAAGCCGATAGTGTACTTAGGTATTTCTTCAGCTTGTCAAACGCGAGTTGGCACTCGTCGGACCATTCAAAGTCATTCTTCTTAATTGCCTTGAAAAAGGGTAAGCACTGCCTTGCTGATTTAGACATAAACTGGTTTAAGGCAGCTACCCAACCAGTCAACCTTTGTACTTCCTTTACTTTCTGGGGTGGTCTCATGTCTAGTATGGCCTTTATTTTGTCCGGATTGGCCTCGATGCCACGTCGGTTCACTATGTAGCCAAGAAATTTGTCCGATGTGACCCCGAAGACACATTTGTTCAGGTTGAGCTTCATGTTATATTTCCCTAGAATTTGAAAAACAGAGTTTAAATCATTAAGAAAAGAATTTGAAAATCGGCCCTTCATGACCATGTCGTCTACATAACATTGAACTTTATTTCCAATCAAGGGTTCAAAAATTGTATTTACAAGGCGTTGGAAGGTCGTTCCAACATTTTTCAATCTGAAGGGCATTACTTTATAGCAGTACAACCCTAGTTTGGTTAAAAATGCGGTCTTGTCCTAGTCGACTAGGTCCATCCTAATCTGGTTGTAGCCAGAGTAAGCATCCATGGAGCTCAGCAACTCGTGCCCCGAGGTCACTTCTACCAAGTGATCTATTCTTGGAAGGGGAAAGCAGTCCTTCAAGCAAGCTCTGTTGAGCTCAGTGTAGTCGATGCACATGCGCCACTTTCCACGAGCACAGGGTTGGCTACCTAGCTCAGATACTAAACCTCTTTAGCGAAGTCTTCTACAAGGAGCTTCCTGACCTCCTCATCTACTACCCTCCATCGCTCCGGGGCAAGGTTCCGTTTTCTTTGTCTAATTGGCCTGACTAAGGGATCCACATTAAGTTTGTGAGTTATTATACTAAGGTCAATGCCGAGCATTTCTGCTGCTGACCAAGCAAAAACATCTAAATTATTAAGTAAGAAACTTACTAGTTGTGACCGAAGCGATTCGTTTAGATGAGCGCCGATCTGAAGGGTCTACTTCAGCTCGGCATCAGCGACCAGGACCTGGATTGTCTCCTCCATTAGGGCAACTCTCTCCTCTATGTGCTCGGGTTGGCTCTAGTTTGACGTCATCCGCCAATTTTGCCTTGCCCTTTAGTGCGGCTACGTAGCACTTGCGTGACTCAAGCTAGTCGCCTCGTACTACCCCTACTCCATAGCTCGCCGGGAACTTCATGAACAAGTAATAGGTCGACACCACTACATGTAGGGCATGCAAGATGGGTCGACCTAGGATCATGTTGTAAGGGGACGGAGTCATAAACACCAAGAACGTGTGCTCGAAGCATACCGAGTTGGGCCATGCTCCTACTGCAATTGGAACTGTAATTCGGCCAAGGGGCATCCTGTTCTTGGAGGCGTCATCATGGTTCACCTCGAAGTCATTAATCACCAACTTGACCATGGTTCACCAACACCCTCATGGTCAAGTTGGTGATTAACTCCCTGAGTCTACTAGTATCTG